CATGAAAATAAGGAGGCCGGAAGAGTTTGGCTATGGATTAAAACAGGTCCAACCTTCTCTGGCTTTCACAGGATGTAAGCTCTGTCTCCTAGCAACCATGACAGTTGACACACAAAGCAGGCAAAGAATGAAAACCAAACTTCACACTATTGCTCTGCGTGCTAATTATATTTTGGAGGTGCAGTACCATCATCACGAATATCAGATTTTTAGTTCCCACTCTATATACAGATATTGGGATCTAGAATAGAATTCAACAAAGCAAGGAAATTCATTCTCTGCATTTACCCCTTCCTCTTTAGGAGCAGTGGGCTGCCACTGTGCAGCACTGCTGCCAGTGTTCAAAATGTCACTATAAACTCAGATAAAACTTGAGAGGCCTGATCTTAAATTTGGTCCAGCACAGAAAGTTGTGAAAACACTTTAACTTTGTTAAAAAAATATTTACTTGCCACAGTTTCTATGTGGATTTTTTAAAGTTGGCTCTCAAGCTATGGTAGATGTGGTTTTGTTGTTTGTAAAAAAAAAAAAAAAGACCAATGCAAACTTTGGAGCAAGACTAGTAAGGTATTTTAGCAGAGCTTCATTTTTCCTGAAAAACTACCTGGATTCACAACAGAGGAAATTATTTTGACTTTGTCCATCAATAGTCCCTGTGAACCAAACCAGTGAGTCAGCGTTTACTGATAAAAGTACTAAAGCATCACTCCTGAGACTGTAATGAGGTGTTGCAACTGATTAAAGGCTGTTATTAGCATATTATTTTAATATATTTCAAATAGTATCCAGTAACTTAAAAATTAAAGTTTAAATTCTGAAATATTTTGTGTATTAGTTTGTATTTGACTCCAGTTTTAAACCTTTAGATATTATTTGTCTTCTTAATATTAACTGAGGATGCCAATATTTTTTACACTGAAGGAGGCTTCAGTGGATGAGATGACCACTGCAGTTTTTTATTAAAAACAATGTTTCTATTCTAAAATAAACATTAAAAATAATAAAGTTGATAAAGAAAACTAATGTAAAATGTATTTTTACACAGAACAGACATAGGGGGATCAGATAAAGCCTGTTTAGGTACCAGATCTGCTCGGGGCCCCGCCCCTTCTTATGACATCAACATATGGCAACTCCATTCAGACAAACTGTATTTCACCCGTTTCTTAAGAATCAAATGTCTTTTGGAGCCTCAACATATTGTTACCTATATTTGCTATTTTTTTCCATTTCATTGACGATCTAAAGTAGCTGAAAGTAGAAAACAATCATTCTAAGTCTTAAAAGAAAGTACTGCTTTCTAAGCCTGAGCTCTGCCATTTAACAAGGTGACAAAAAGTCTCAGCTTATTTTTATTCTTTTTATTAAGAGCTGAAGGCAGGATAGACAAATGGAACATCTCAAAATGACTTTTGAAGAGATTTTAGACAAATAAAACAGTTATTTTACTTATAAAAAACTGACGGTTGTTATGTGACGTTGTTAAGTGATGTTATTATCGTTGTCTGGGCAACCACAATGTATTACATCATGTGGCAACAATCAGCCAATCACCTAGCGCAAAGTAAGTGGCATGCACAGGGCCCCGAGCAGATCTGACCCACCGAAGAGATCTGCTAGCTACACCGGGCATACACTGCGTGATATTTTCAATCGTTGCATGCAGCTACAGCTCAGACTGTGCGATGAAACCACAGGGTTTAAAAGTTCAAAGCTCACGATGTATGTCCTCATACTGTGCGACCAGACGCCCTGATGTGACCCTACGATAGCTGACTGAATTTCAAACGTGTAATTTTCTCCCAACCTTACAATTCCTGATCGGGAGGTGGTCATGAGAGGCTAATCGCCCCTCGTAACCACCTGTATAATACATGACGCATGGTGCAGCATGGTGCTGAAACTCGGCCCGATCGAAAAATTCTCTGAGAATCGTCCCGAAAAGGGCAAAAAAATCATACAGTGTATGCCCGGCTTAAGGGGACAGGGGACCAGGTCTTTCTCCTCCAATCAGAAACATGCTGATATTGATGCTGCACTTTTTTTTCTTTAATGAACATTATGAAAAATTATCCAATCTAGAAAAACTAATTCATGTATTTATCTTTAGTAGAATCACTTACCACAACCGTGTCTGCAAAAGGTTTGCCTGTAAAAGTTCTTGAGACAGCTTCATCCAAAACTGCCGCCTGTGTTCTCACTAGAACTAAGAAAGTAGAGCACTTCAGCCCAGGTCTGAAGTCTTTACACTGGCTCCCTGTATCTCAGAGAATAAAGTTTAAAATCTTGCTGCTGGTGTATAAATCACTGAATGGATCAGCACCTCAATCCATGACAGATTTGCTGTCAGTGTATCAGCCTCCCAGACCATTCAGGTCTTCTAGTTCCAGCCTACCCTGTTCACCCAGAACTAGAACCAAACATGGAGAATCAGCATTTAGTTCCTATGCTCCACTGATGTGGAATAAACTCCCAGAAGACTGGAAAAGTGCTTAAAACGTGAGCTATTTTAAGTCAAAATTAATAACCTATTTGGTCAGAACTACCTTTGACTGTCAAACTGTTAAATTAGATATCATTTGTTTAAGGTTGTGGTCAAACTCTTTTATTCATTTTAATAATTGCTTTTATTGTGTTTTTATCTTTATCTACTTTTAGATACAGTAGATACAGATGGGGAAGTGGTGGCCTAATGGTTTGTGCATTGCATTTGTGTCCCGGAGGTTCTGAGTTCAATCCCACAGACTGCCTCTCTGGCTCCATTAGGCAAGACCCTTAACCCCACACTGACTGAATTTCTCCATTGTGAGATTAATAAAGTCACAGGTTTGGTTAAATGAGAATAAAGTGTTGCACCTGTCCCCAGTTTTCTATTCCAGGTCAAAGTTATTGCTTTGTGACAGCCTAGCATGTATTATACAACAGGAGTTAGATCCAAGACTCACAATAACGAGATTTTATGGACAAACGGGAGAAAATGCAAAGAACACCAGACAAAGAAAACTTACACTATGAAAAACGCAGGAAGAGAAAAGGGGGAATAGAAAGTAAAACAAACAATGCATTTCACTTTATTAATTGTATATTGTGAAGTCTTGTTTTTCAGGGGGCTTGATGCCAACCTTCACCTTGGGCCCCAAATTTGTTAAATCTGCCACTTTTTAAAGACCCCCCCCAAAAAAAATTGAAGTGTATAGCTGTATTGAAATGACCTCAAATGATATACATCTATGTATTTTTCAAACTTTTATTCACCGCCAACCCACCAGCCACTTTTTGCATTACCTTTCAATGCTTAAAATGAAATGAACTTTAGGTAGCACAGTGGTGGGCTTCCTATAATCTTCGTGCAGGTGAAATTAAACAGAGCGTTCTCCAATGTATGGAAGAGGATTAGGGCCACTGAAAAAAAAAAAGTTAACAGATTTTTTAAATATTATTTCAGTTTAATATGAGAAAAAAGTAAGAATTCTGACTCTTTAGTTTTTCTACTGCACTAGTGGCTCGTTTCTTTTTTTTTTAAAGCTGACAGGAAACGGGTAATGAGAGGGGGGAAAGACATGCGGCAAAGGACCACAGGTTGGATTCAAACCTGGTTCAGCCGCATTGAGGACTAAGGCCTCCATACATGCGCCGTGCGTGCTAATCAATGCGCCACTGGCACGCCCCAGAATTCTGACTTTTTTCTGAGAATCCTGACTGAATTCTGACAGCTAACAAACATGTTGGCATCAAGCCGTAGCCATGTCTGTTCTAGAGACTAAACTAGCTCTCTTGTTTTAATCACCACCTGCTCTTCTATTAATCAAATAGCATCACCAGGGACCCCTCGAGCATGTAAAAAGTCACCTAATTCCATCATTTTCCACCAATGTGTTACTGGCCCTTCTAAACAACTCACATCTTTGTCAGTAAAGCTGAGTGCGCCAACATTTCTTCCTTCATGGTGCCCATTAAGATCCAGAATTCCGAGAATGAAGTTAGAATTTTGAGAAAAAAGTCAGAATTCTGAGATTAAAGTGAGAATTCTGAGATTAGAGTGAGAATTCTGATATTAAAGTCAGAATTCTGAGATTAAACTCAGAATTGTGAGATTAGAGTCAAAATTCAGTGGAAAAAGACAGAAATCTGAGATTAGAGTAAGAACTCTGAGGGAAAAAGTTAGAATTCTGAGATTAAAGTGATAATTCTGAGATTAGAGTGAGAATTCTGAGATTAAAGTCACAATTCTGAGGAAAAAGTCTGAATTTT